TGTTTTTGTGATTAATCAATTTATCCTTCCGTCTAATAAAAGTAGTCCCATTGTATGCCGAACACTGTTTGGATATGTATTTTTTTTCTTTTCACTTTTAGTCTAAATAAGCAAACACAAATAAATTAAAAATAACATGTTAGAGTGTACATGCTTTTTTGCTATTGTTTCGATATTATATTTCTATATTGGTTATATTTTGCGGAGTGATTTTAAAATGACAATGTGGCGCGGATCTAGAGTTCCAAACCCAATGTACATGTTTGAACTGCCATAAAGCATATATACCATGTTTATCTCTTACAACTTCATCGACATGTTTCTGTTTGAAAATCAAATATAAATAATACGACTCAGGTGCAATATCTATTTTATGGTGGCATATTTCTGCATGCTCCCTACACAGCTACATGCAAGATAAATTATGTCAACATGTAAAAAAAGAATGTTAACATGCAAGATTATGTCTACATGCAAGAAAATTATGGTATCATGCAAGTTACCGATCTTTGTAGGGAATCTGATTTTTAACATGGGTAAACCTATTTACTAACGCCAGTATCATGCAAGATGCAACGTACATTAAATTATGTTGACAACTTGACATGCAACTTACTTATTAAGTCAACATGCAAGTTAATTATGTTTATATGCAACATATTTATGTCAACATGCAAGATAATAATGTTGACATGTGACTTATTTATGTCAACTTGCAACATTTAAAAGTTGATATGAAATGGGTCATTTAAAAAGGGAAGCTTGGTATAATAATTTGCATGTCAACATAATAATTGTGCGGTAACTATATATGTTGCATGTAAATGTCATAAATAAGTTGCATGTCAACATAAATATATCTCATGTTGACATAAATATGTTGCATGTTAAGATTATTATCTTGAAAGTTGACATAAATATCTTGCATGTTAAATTAACACAATATTGCATGTTGACATAAACATAAATAACATCACATGTTGACATAAAATATAGCTCGTATGTCAATAGAATTACCTCTCATGTTCACAAACTTGCATGTAATCACAATTATCTCGCATGTTGATATAAACAAGTCATATGCTGAAATAAATAAGTTGCATGTCAAAACAAATATCTCTCATGTTGACATAAATAACTCACATGTCAATTATGAGTCAGATACTGCATGGTGTTTGTAAGTAAAATTACCTATACATGTATTAAATCAGATTATCTTTAAAGATTTGTAACTAATTATCTTGCATGTAGATATAAATATCTTGCATGTTGACATACATTTCTTGCATATTGACATAATTTATCTTGCACGTTGGGACAGAAATATGCCACCATAATATTCACAGTTGTTTTACATATAAAAGTACTATATATATATATATATATATATATATATATATATATATATATATATATATATATATATATATATATAGTTGGTAATTTTTTTAGTGCTTGCAGCTACTATGACTTTTTCTCAGTTGTGCAGAGAGGCTCTAATTTCTTACCCTATTTGGTTTTACAAATGACATCAATTATATATATATATATATATATATATATATATATATATATATATATATATATATATATATATATATATATATATATATATATATAATTGATGTCATTTGTCAAAGAAATTAGAGCCTCTCTGCACAACTGAGAAAAAGTCATAGTAGCTGCAAGCACTAAAAAAAAATTACTAACTTCTTTGATATTTCTTTTATTATACCATTTATACAAAGTCATCCCCTATTGATGTTAAATTTAATCACCCCACCCCACCCCCAATACTGGCTATGAAAATAATTGCAATTTAATGAGGTGCTGTTTTAAGTATTTTTAGGTATTTTCTTATATTCAAAAAAAAAAAAAATCTTCAAATCAAAAAATAAAATGATTTAATTACTTGATAACTTCATTTTTGATGGTGAGAAAAGTTAGAAACCTAAAGTAGAACTAACTAAATTTGTGCTCTCTGGGATGTTTCTTTTTTCATCTCCAAGTATGATATTTGAATTGAATTTGAATTGAAATGAATTGAATTGAACATATTTTATTGACAAAGAGTCAGTAGGATTAGACACAATTCAAGAACTTAAATATTCTTCTCCTAATACAACATTTTGTAAAATTGCCAAAATAAAATGAATGTATATATATGGTCTACTACATATATACATAGTAGTTTCTGTAATAGAAGGAAAATAAGATCTTCTTTAAATGTACAAATCTAGATTTACATTGTTAAAAAAAATAAGCTTTTTTGAAAAGCAACCACATTCATTTAGAAAAGTTTGAATAATCTTGAAAAGTTCAGCATTTTGTTCATTAGTAAGAGAATCATCACCCTATAGCATTAAATGTACATATATGACATATAAATTATTTAATGACAATAGCTTGCTTTTGCATAAATTTACAAGCGAGAAATAGATGGTATGCATCTTCTAGTCGTCCTCATGAACAATTTGGACTGGTTATCAAGTTACAGCAAAATAAGTCAGAGTTTAAAATACAATGGTGTCTTAATCTTGTATGAATTATGTTCAAAAACCTTCCATATGAAAAATATTTCTTAGGTTTTACAATGTTGTTGTGCAGACAGTTCTTAAAAATTTTAATAGAAGTTGCCTCCCTTGATCTAAGACTAAGTGAATTCCACTTTCTGACAGTATCAGGAGTAAATGATTTGTTAAATAATTCTAATCTGTATTTTGGCAAAGAATAGTTTAAGGAATTCCTAGTTGTGTATCCTGAAATGTTGCCTCTTGTATCAGGTAATAAAATTTGTATATAAGAAGGTACTAAATTATTGTGCATTTTATACATTGTTTTAGTTTTGCTGTTTCTTCTGTATTCCAAAGGTTCCAAACCAATTTCCAAATATAACGATTTTTTTTGAAGCAATAATTGTAAGCCCAGTAAGTATTCTTGCAACAAATACAGGTGACTCTCGATCTCTCGAAGTTCAAGGGACTGCAAGAAAAGTTAGAGAGATCAAGGAGTTCGAGAGATAGAAAGTGAATAAAATCTGGAACTTTTTGAAGATTTTCAATGTCTGTCTTTGTGCATCCAGACCAAACTTCAAAAGCATATTCTAGTTGTGGCCTAATAAAAGATATATACATCTGGGATAGAATATCTCTTGACACAGTAAATTTTAGCTTTTTAATTAACCCCCGTTTTTGTAAGCTTTCTTTACAATGATATCAATATGATCAGACCGTCTTAAGTTTGAGGACAGCAGTATCCCAAGATGTTTGTGTTCTGTAAAATATTCTAATTAGCAATTGTCAAAAAATAACTTAGGTAACTGCTGCACATTTTTTAAATGAAAAAATACAGCTTTGGTTTTCTGTGGGTTAAAATTCAATAACCATTTCTTTGACCATTCATCTAGTATTCTAAGATCATGATTAAGATTTTGCTCAATATGATTAATATTATCTGAACATTTTTTGTTTACGATATTCAACAATTATTTTCCAAATTTGTGAACTTCATGGTCCCTTGGTCAGGCATTCTGGTGTTAGGGCGGTGCTCTATTGATTATACATGTAGATTGAAATGCATTAATTCTTTGAAAATCTTCTTCTCTGCCCCTGGGTAATAAGCACTCAAATTAAAAGCATGTTTATGATAAGCAAGAGTACCTCTTCCAAAATTCGGAAATTTATGCCCCCCCCCCGGGTCAGGAGTTCTGGTGTTAGGGAGGGGTTCTGTTGATCAGACAGTAAATATGCATAAATTCTGTACAAATTTTCTCTGCTCCTGGGTATTAAGGAAACAAACTAAGTGCATGGTGATGATGAGCAAGGAAGCCTCTTCCAAAATTGTGAAATTCATAGCCCTTGGGTTAAGGGTTTTGGCGTTAAGGTTGTAATATGCAAGGGTGTTTTAACAAAGTTGTAATATGCAAGGGTGTTTATACCAGATTAAATTCTGGACCACTTGGTCAAGTATTCTGGTGCTGGGCAGGGCTTTGTTGATATCGTAGGCAATTTGTTCGCTACTGGAAGACTTTATTCCTCTTTGCTTTTCACCTACTGTAAAATGCACTGTTTGTCAAAAAAACGTCATGAAAAATACCAGTGTTACAATCCACTTGACCTTTGACCTACTCTGCAAAAAATACCCTGGACAGTTTCAATTTACTTAATATGTCTTTTGAATTTTGAGAGGCAGGGTTTTGATAATTAGCATTTCTACATGTTTATGAGCTCATGATACTGTATTTTGATACCGTATTATATTTAGTTATCACACAAACTTATATTTAAAAGCTATCAAAATACATCAGGATTGGTATTCAACAATGGATCATGTATATTAAAGACAGACGGAAATCTTTTTGAAGTGTTGTTGGAAACAGATACATGTAATAATAAAGTGATAATTATTTCTGATAATTTCAATTTAATTATTCATTTGGTTTGTTCCTGAAAAAATGTCAAATGTGTGCAAAACAGGAACACACCATTCATTTGAGGGTCAGGAAACCATATTTTCTGTGTCAGATTCTATTGCAGTCATACTATCCAAGGACAATATTTTTTTTCTTTCCAGGCAAATGCATGAACTCAAATGCTAGTATTAAATAAATAGCTGACCACTCTTAGATTTATTTACATCTTTAATGAAGCTATAAAGCAAGCGATACATGCACTCCTTGGAACACTCTAGTACTACAAATGAAAGCCTTAAGCCCAAAAGCCCAAAGATACTCTGACAAATTTGATAAAAATTGGTTAATGGGTTCTTGAGATATAGCCCACATTCCAGATATTTACTCTTTGAGCCTCTGCCTCAGAAGCATTTCATCAAGGGAGAAAACCATTTCATGACATGCAGAAATTAATCTGCATTTTTTTTAAAAAGCATCCAATCTTTGTTCTCATTCAGAAGAGTTTACAATGAATTTAACTGGGTGTGCTCTCTAGCTCCCTGGTCCATTCTGGCCCACAGTCTTAACCAAAATATAATTGAACACCAGATCTATTTAACAAAACATCTTTAATACTCTCAGAGTATAAATAAACTTCACATAGGTAGTTAAAAACATCATACAAAATACATTTAATGGTGGCAGTGTTCAATTTTCTTATCACTGAATGCATCAGGAAGAAACATTTTCACAACAGATGTGACGTTTTTTTCACAATGTAATGATATATCAGCACATACATATATAATACTAATAAGCACCTTTCACCTGCGTCTTAAAAATATCTGTCCTTTTTCTAATTGCCCAACTGAAATTCTCATTTTACAGTTGTCTGGAATTTTTCTAATCCAAATCTGTAAATATGAAAAATCATGCCATGTATAACTGAAGAACACATTTACTGTAAAATCACATATTTTTGTGGCATCAAATTTTCAAGGTTTGAGGGAAAAAAAAAACTGGTTTATGGGGATTTGATTTTGTGGTTTGAAAAGTGTTGGGTGGGTATGTATATGAAATTTTACATTCTGTGGAGAACATGAATTCATGAGTTAACGTTATAATGATTAATTTGTCATATACCCCTCTATAATTAGCGAAATATAATAAAAGGAAACTTCTTGGATCAATAATACAATTTTTATCCATTAAATAGAACATTTATCCAAGGGACTTTTTAATACGGAAGAAAAAAATGTCATGAAAATTGTGAACGATGTCATCAGTTTCAGAGAGGGGTGATATGGATTCAGAATATTAGTGTGGTGATCCGGAAAGTCGGATCACAACATAAAGGGATTGCATGAAATGAAAAGTAAAATTGAGTGATACACAGTTGGGTATATAATAAAGTATGGTATATATGGTCAGTAGCCAATAAAACTCACCTCTTGTGTACCCACAGCTGTAATTACCCCTGTAAACTTCCCCATATCCTTGGACTCTACAAATACTGGTTGATTCCGATGGAACCTATCGGGAAAGTTATGAAATATTAAAACTTATAGACACCTGTTTTTAAATAACTGGAAAAACTTGATAACTCCGGCATGATGTTTTAAAAAAAAGGTTAGTTTTCCTTATCACAATAGTTTACATTGCCAAGTAGGTGCAAGTTACTGTATACAGGGAAATTTTCATCCCCATTTTATTTTTGCCCCTTTTGCCCTACTCACAGGTGGGTGAGTTTAAAACAGGACAAATTCGAAAAACACAGTATAATTTCTTAAGCAGAACTGTGACTGGGCCAATTTAAAATGGGGCAAATTTTTTACAAGTGTGACAGGGCGAAAATAACCCTGTATACAGTAACAACTCCCTCTCTTAAAATATGTCTACGTTTATGTACAAATGGACAGTGGAACAATTCATTTTGTTTTACTTTACAAGATATCACAGAACTTCCTTTATAACTCTGTGCTTCACAATTCTCAAGTATCATAAAATAGTTTATTTCTGCAATTGACCAACTGTTGCTGGATTTTGTAAATCATTAGTTTTCACTAAATAATAAAATCATCCATCTTCATTAAAACTACTGAAACTACAAAATTTCAAATGCTCCCTTTAAAGAAATTAAACTGCACAAAATTCAAGCCAAAGAAATTATGTTATTGGTATGCCCAAACACTTGCCTATGTACATGTACATGTATGAGGATCTAGAGAAACAGAGAAGTACAAACCATCTTTTATCATAATAAAGCCTCCCATCGTCAATTTTGGCTTCGGCTATAATGGCTTCTATGGGTGATGGATGCGGGGTGACCTTCTTACTGACAGGTTTCCCACTAACTTTGTTGATGATTCGTAAATCGTCTAAAATGTCTCCCTCATCCAGATACAGATTTAGTTGTGGTAAGATAGTCAAGGTTTAAAGGTTATTCTAGACAATTTCTCTGCATTGCTACTTTTAGTCTATAATTTTAATGCGTAAAAGAAGATGCTCACAAATGTGTACTTGTGAAAGGTTCATATAAACCTCTGGCAAAATCATTAACTACTTTAAAAAATTTTTTTTTACATCACATATATATGTATTTTCCATAAGCTAAATCAATTATTGAAATAAAAAAGCATCAATCTCAATGGTTAACAACTACTATTTTTCTTCAAATGCAGGATTAGGTTTATTTTTCCTTTTGCATATACTACTTTTTCCCCCTTCTAAACATGTCTTCACAATATCTATTAAAAATCTTCAATTTCCTGGTTTCAAATATAAAAAAAATTTCATGTTCATGTATCTTAGTACAAGTAAAAGGATATCAGGTGTCTGTTTCCGTCTTTTCTCTGGGAGGGGCATCGGGTCATTGGGTCTTCTGCGTAGCTTTCTTGTAGTCACAGGTTTAATTTCCATGGAGTCGGAGAGAAGAAATCCTGAGGAAAAGATACAGGGCATCCTCTTAATTCAATTACAGAGAAAGACCTAAACTTACATAAAACTTCCTTGGCATTATGCTACACTAAAAAAGGTTTAACAGCAGTGTAATCAATTCAAAAGCTGTGCTATTCTAACTTAACACTGCAAAACTGATGCATCATATATTCTTTCATATATGATCTTAGACTAGCAATTTTTTTTTCCAAAAACCAAAAGTCAACTATTCCAAAAAAAAAAAAAAAACTTCATGGACGTGACAAGTCATAGAAAGACAACTCTGATGCAAAACTTACAGTATCCTAATATGTAAATGTATGCTAATTTATGAATACTGTAAGGTATGCTAATTTATAAATATTGTAAGTTGGTGTGTGGGGGGGGGGGGGGGGGGGCATATCTAAAAGATGTCCATTCTGTGACTTGTTTTATCTTGAGTTGTAGTACTGATGATTTATTGTATCTTTGATTTTTTCCTATGACTTGTCACAGACCCTGTAAAAATGTAAAATACCTCCTGTTAGGTCCATGGAGTTTCTCTCATTTTCTATATTCTTCTTTTTCTCTTCAAACTCCAGAATGAGATTCTCTTTAAGCTCTATTTTCTTTTCCTAAATGATGAAAAAAAAATAATTTGTAACTCTCATTACAATGAATTTTTGAGACTCAGATAAAAAATGTCATTGTTTCACTTTAATACGCCAGAGCCAAAATTTTTATTAAAGTTAATTAAGGGAGAAATCACCAAGTCACTGATAATTAGTTTATCAATTTTATGTATAGTCTTCCATGTCTCAAATTCTACAAAAGCAAACAACAAGTGAACAGGCAAACACTTTATAATTTCTTCATCCCCTCTTTCCCAGTAAAACATTTTTTTTATACAAATCAAGTCAGTGACAATGCATGCTGCATATTGTAAAATCAGCCAAAATCCATGATCCACTCTACACTACATACATTGTACATGTACCTTTCCAGATTTAATATTACCTCAAAGTCTTTGACAGATGCTTTCTTTTCCTTTATATACTCTCTTTCTACTACATCAAGCTGAAACACAAAAGGATTTTGAAGTTCAAGCACATTCACATATTTTTATCTGCAGTTTACAGTGCATCTCACTCTGCAAAATTGAAGATAAGTATGTTCTCAAAACATTTCTGCAATTTAAACTAAATTCCATTTTCATGAAAACAACATGAAGACAGGTTAACACTGTAATAAATCAAATATACTGTGATCTTGTACAAACTTAAAAAATGTCTAAAAATTGTTGATTAGTATAAGTAATTAGCAAATAACAACTATGCTAAAATATGCACTTTAAAAATCACCTCAAATTCTCTCCAGATTTCATTGATGCGAATCCGTTCCTTATAATTCTGATCTATTTTTTTCCTCTTCTTTATGTATTCAGGTAAAGTGCCTTCTTCTAACTGCTGCAGTTGTTTTTTCAAGTGTGCCAGTTTGTCTTGATACATTCTGTTTATAATTCAATGAAGAAATCAGATTTATATAGTTTATTTTCCAGATTTAGATATTTTTGTTATGAGATTCATTACCATAAATATAAAGCTGCTCCTTGAACTATTCAAAATATTAATAGATGTACTTCAGTTGTTCCAGTTCAGAATTAACTCTCAGTACTCACTGTTCTTTGATTTCTGTGTATTCCGTTTCTCGCTTCACCATGTCTGTTTCACTGGCATCCTCTGTATCTAAAACAACAGTTTTAAAATAAAACTCAGCATCAATAAGCATTATATACATCTGTATACTGATTCAATACATTTCAGTTTTTGTTCTTTTTTATCCCACAATTTCAACTGCTATATTATTAAATTTCAAACTAAATGCACAATGTTTAAATATGTTAATACTTTTGTAAGGATTTGCACAATGTATTAAATTGATACTATTAAAACCAAAACTAACCAAATGATTAGATTATGGTCATATCAGTAGAAAATATACAAAATGATAACTAAACCTTAATATAATAATGAGGCTTTTGACCTGTTGAGACTTAATTGAGAGTAAAATCCTTTTCTATGCTGGATGATCTGAAATCTCCAGCAAATTCATGCATTATAAATGTATTGTTGTAACTAAATATAATGTATGCATTTAAAATTTTATCATATGAATATCGGACGAATGTGACACTCTGCCAAAAATGCCTTGTACGGAAAACTATAAATACCTTCATACTATGATTGTCCTTCATACGAAATCAACATATTAATTAATAAAGCCTAATTAATGATTTAAAATAAACTTTTATTATTAAATCAAAACAGAATTATGATGACTCATCATTTTTGTTTCTTTTTGAAATGTTACCCAGAGACAGACATCAAACTGTGTCAATATTTTCCGATAATTGAGACTGCTAGCTAGGATCTTCCTTTGATTTTTTTTAAAGTAAAGATACATTTAGTAAATACAGCAAATTTATGTTAAAAATCATTAAAATAATAGGAAGTTGTTACAGTCATGCCATATTCATTCAAGTCTTGAGAGACTTAAAATCTTAGTTATAACCACATGCACAAAGCTAAAAGTATTAAAGAACAGTGTATGCAAAGTGAAAGTAGACCCCAGAGGGAGTTTCTACTGTATTCTTATCAAATTCACTAAATTTATGATAAATCTTGACAGTTTTATGTTAATTCCAGCTTCCACTGGTATAGCAATAATCAATTGGCATCTTCTTTTACTTTGGAAAAAATAATTGCCAACGATCATAAATCATATTAGGGAAATTTAATAGATTATACTGAGTCATCATTTACTTACTGAAGGAAGCCATTGCTACAATGATATCATTACAAGAAAGATAACTCTAATTTAAATAATGAACAATACATTGTCAATTTAAAAATCATCCGATCATCCTCTTTTACCTACAAATACAAGTTAACATGTATAACACTTACTTTAGAATTTGTATAACATATTGCAAAGAAGAAAACTTAAAAGAATCCAAAAGAATCCAAAATGACAATCATATTTATAGCACCAATTACAACTATTCATGTTTGAAAAGCTTCAAAACTACACATAGACTAGGAAATATCATTCACATTACTGAGAATGAAACAAGGGAAATAATATTCTTCATAAAAGTTTATCTGTTGGTTTAATCATAAGAACAGTCTTCATGATATGGAATTTAATGTTATTTAATATTAAAAATAAAACATATTTGTAAATTTAGGACTTTAGTGCCTAGCAACGCTATAATAAACAAAACCCAATCTGATGGTTTCATTAAATAATTATTGTGTCATATCTATGACTTGAAAGATTCCCTCCCCTCCTTTCCATGCTTTTCAAACCCAGACAGAGGAAACTCGAACCCAAAACAATAATCCAAAATGAAACAGATGTTTTGCTCCATTGGATTTTGCAATAAAAAATGAGCTTTTTAACGTATACTTAAATAAATATCTTATACAAATACCGAATCAAAAAGAAAAACGTTCGTTAAAAAAAAAAATAGATGGTAAACAAGCTATAAACCATAATGTTGCTTCATGCTTGGCGCCAAAGCGTAAACGCAGGGATTGTGAAGACAGAAACCCCTGTTTTGCATTTTTCCTCACCTTCATCGGTAAAATTTTCATCAAAATCTCGATCATCATCCAAGTCTAGGCTATCGACATCATCGTAATCCGTATCATTAATGTATCGAGGAGAAGATGTGTAACTTGACGCCATATTTGTTTTCATCGGATGTGCATTGAAGCGGTGCCTAGTCAATTCGTTGCAGCAAAGACAAAGGCATGTTGGGACATAAACAAAAAGTCTTTAGAAAATATTCATACTAAGGACAAAACAAAATGATTTCAATTATATAATTCTTAAGTATCTCAAGATATGGTCGTTTCAATTTTCTATATCACATTTTGTAAGATTTCTTTACATTTTTATTATTAAATTAAAAAAATTTACATGTAACGTTACTTGATGATGATCTAGGCGAGGGTTTAAGAATGCATGTTAACAAATCTGTATTTGCTTATATTTGCTAGATTGTAGATATATATATATATAATCATCATGATGTAAAAGTATCTTTATTTTAATAATATAATTCATAAAAACAACATTATTGGATGATCAATCGAGTTTATATTGTATAACTTAATATTTTTCTTTTCTGAGTACGCATGCGTAATATACGTGTTTTGGTATCTTATTTTTCCCGAATTAACTCTATTTCTTTCTACTTTTCCTGACATTGCAGAAGACGAACTCAAAATGGCACACACATTTCAACAAGAATACATGGAAATGCCACCAATCACTAGAGCTTATACAACAGCATGTGTGTTAACAACAATCGCTGTTGTAAGTTTCTACTTTTTTTTTTCCAGAAAATCTGAGAAGAAAAAAAAAGTGTTTTCTTTTTATTAAATGCTTATTTGCTTTCTTTTTTTATTTCAGCAACTTGACATTATTTCACCGCTTCAGATCTACTTTAACCCAGATGCAATATTTTCAAAGTATCAGGTGAACACTTTACATCTACTGCATTTTAAATATAAGGCATTGTCAGTAACTTGAAAAAAAGCTGTTATTACTTTGATTGAGATGGGTCACACTCTGGAGAAATTATAAACAATTGATAAGTGTTATTGATGACATATAGATAACAAAATTTTAAAACCAGACCACCCTGGTCCCAGGTTAAGCCAAATTAGATGCCTAAACTACATGTAATTTTCCCCCTAATTTATTTGAATAAAGTGTTTGTGTTAATAGCAGCTTTAATGTACCTTCAGTTGTATGATTGTAATTCAGGATCTCACTGTCTTTTGTTTTTCAGATATGGCGGCTTGTCACAAACTTCATGTATTTTGGTCCGATTGGTTTTAACTTCCTATTCAACATTATATTTGCATACCGCTACTGTCGAATGCTTGAGGAGGGGTCATTTCGGAACAAAACAGCTGATTTTTTTTTCATGATTTTGTTTGGATGTACATTAATGATTGTATCCTTGCTTATACATTTCCTTATGTCAAATACTTTGGTTATATACACATATATCAAGTGTGGTCCCATCTGTCATATGTAATGATTCCGGGATTTTAAGGTACGACCATGCAGAGTTCTCAATTAGTCACTGATGACATCATGTGACATCAGTTGTGTATAAATACCGAGACTCTGCAGCCATCTGTAGTTGTTCTTTGGATGCAGCCAAGGTTAGTAGACGAGTGTAGTGAATACAGTATTCACGTTTAATATTCCTTGCCTGTTTTACAGTTAGAGAGAGAATTTGGAAGGCCAAACCAGTTAAGGCCTGCCACAAACGAGGTTGACCTCCAGTATGGAGGCTAGCCATAGTTTGTTTGATCTCGTCTGCATTGGCTGACCAGTCTGTCCAGGCTGCTATACTCATTGTCCGTCCTGAATAAGGCATCCTACAGTGAGTGTAGTGGTTGAAGGACTATGACATATACTGTCCGTCCTGAATAAGGCATCCTAAAGTATATGCGATAGTCTGAGGGCGACTGGGCTTTTGTTGTAGTATTAGGTTAGGACTACCAGATAATTTATTGTTACTTGCCTCCGATTGTTATTGATTTACCATTTGATTATTGTTTACCTAGATAAGGTTATTTTGGCAGTCCACTGAAATCATACCAATCAGTTTTTAATCAGTTAATGTTGAACACCCCAAACCCTGGAATTGACCAGGTACGACCCCTGTGTTTTTATGTAAATATGTTACAATACTTTGTACAGGGTTATTTTCACTATGTTATTTTCACCCTATCACAATTAGAAAAAGCTTTGTCTCAAAATATGCCAAGACACAATGAAAATGTCATGATAAAAGAGAGATAACTATTATGACTGTGTCACTGCTGAATTCACCTCACTTTGAATGTGCCCACTAATGACAAGGGCAAAAGGTGTGAAAATATAATGGAGACAAAAATTTCCTTGTTTGCATTCACTATCGTGAACCTTAGATATCTTGCAGATTTGTCTCTCCTGCTGAATTTAAGCTAATGAGGGTTTGACAAGGAAAAAAATACTCTTCTGAAACTTTAAGTGATTAAAACATGAATTTAAATTAATTTCAAATTCTTATAAAAATATTTATGAAGCTTTAATGCAAATGATGTGAATTTATCCTTAACAATTTTCAGGTATTAGGTTTTTTTGTAAACATAGTATTTTTAGGTAGTGCCTTTACCATCATGTTAGTCTATTTGTGGAGTCGTCGTAATCCCTATGTCAGAATGAATTTCTTTGGGTTGATGACATTCCATGCACCATATCTGCCATGGGTTTTGCTTGGTTTCTCGGTTTTGCTGGGAAATTCTGTCATGGTTGATTTGATGGGTAAGATTTGTGTCAGTGCTTAAAATTAAATAAAAATTATTTTTGTAAATAAAATATTTTTCTTTAATTGTAAGACTAAGGAGTCCTAAAATTTGTTGTATCAAAACAGTACAACTCGCTTATAATGATACAAAATGTGTCTGTTTAATATAGTAGCTCATTTATTATAATAGATTTTTAGGTCACCTGAGTCACTCAGGTGACCTATTGCTATCTGTTTCTGTCTTCTTGCGTTGTTTGTAAACTGTTGTACATTTTCAGCTTCTTCTCATAAACTGTTTGACCAATTTCAACCAATTTTGGTATAGAGCATTTATGAGGAAAAGGAACCAAGAGCATTTATGAGGAAAAAGAACCAAAAATTGTGAATTTCATGCCCCCTGCTCCCCTGAGGCTTGAGGGGTGGGTCAGAAACCTTCAAAATCAATGCAATTTTCAATAATCTTCTTAACTCCTGGGCATCAAGCTGTCAAACTGTTGGCATGATTGTAAAAAGTAATGAGTTCTTTATCAAAATTGTGAATTACATGGCCCCAGGGTCAGGGGTTCTGGAGTTAAGGGTGGGGCTCTAAAACTTGATCGTATAGTGAAAATGCATTTTTTTTAAAAGCTTCCTCTCTCACTCTGTATATAAAGCAGACAGACTAAGTGCATAGTTGTGATGAGCAAGGGTGATTCTTCTAAAATTTTGAAATTCATGGCCCCTAGATCAGGGGCTCTGGTGTTAGGATGGGTTCTGTTGATTATATAGTAAAAATGATATTTCTTTGAAATTCTTTTTGTCTGCTTCTGGGTTTTAAGCATACATACTAAGTGTATGATTAAGATGAGCAAGGATGCCTCTTTAAAAATTGTGAATTTCATGGGCCTTGGGTCAGGGGTTCAGATGTAATGACGGGGCTCTTTTGATGATATAGTGAAAATGCATTAATTGTTTGAAAATCTTCTTCTCTGCCCCTGGATACTTAGCAAATATACTAAGTGCATGGTTATGATGACTATGGATGCCTTCATCAAAATAGTGAAATTCATTGCCCCTAGGTCAGAAGTTTTGTTGTTAGGTAGGGACTTTCTTAAATTATACAGTGAAAATGCATTAATTCTTTGAAAATCTTCTCTGCCCCTGGGTATATATCAGAAAAACTAATTGCATTTTTATGATTAGCAAGGTTGCCTCCTCCAAAATTATGAATTTCATGGCCTCTGGATCAGGGCTTCATGTGTAAGACTGAGTATTTAGCAAACACACATTAAGTGCATGGTTATGATGAGTATGGATGCCTACTTCAGAATAGTGAAATTCATGGCCCCTGGTTTTGGTGTTAGGGATGGACTGTATTGATTATATAGTAAAAATGCATTAATGCTTTGAAATTTAGGAGACAAACGGAGTACAAAGTTTTACTGAGCAAGATTTTTACCAGATTTGTGAAATTATGGATCACTGGATCAAGTGTTCAGGTGCTGGGCAGGGCTCTATTGATCATGTAGGGAAATTTGTACTTTACTAAGAGAAGCTATTCCCCTTTTCTATTCACCTATGATAATTTAATTAATCACTGTAAATAATGTAATTGATAGGTCAGTGGAATAAAAGAATTATACAAGAATTTTTAATGTATAATACAAAAATACTTCCATAGTTTTTTAAAGGCCAGGTAGACTTCTAAGTAAATTATAAATAAAAATGAGGCAAAAATATGTTATCTTTATACACTAGATGTTCTCCAAAGACCATGAAAGCTTAAGGTCAGAATTTACTGTATCTGTGTCGAAGCACTACTGTATTCAGTCTGAATTGTGAAACTGGCAAGTGGGAGTATATTACCACTGGCTTATACAGGCAAGTAACTAGATCTACCAGTTACTTTATGATTGTTACTGAATATTAGACTGTTTTGCTGATCCCCAATCATCCTATTTCTCTAGCTTTGGGGCAACATATATTCATCTACATATCAGTTTATTTCACTTTATTTAAAATTTTATGGATCCTTTACAGTGTTGTATTATACTCATGTGACCATTAAGGCCCTTAGGCCTCTTGGTGAAACATAAAATCCTGTATGACATATCACAGAGGTTAATTTTTATAAACTTGTTCTTGAATCAGGATAGTACATGTATTTCAGAAATTTTTGCCTTGTTCTCTCTTCTCTCCTTTTACCCCCATTCTTTAGAGGTCAATTTAAAATGGGCTAATAAATATATCAACTTGAAATAACAAAAAATAGCGAACGGATTTTGTCTGAAATTTATAAATGGAGCAAAAGTTTTGAATCCCTTTGAGTTTATATAAGAAGGTACAAAATTTTCCAATTCCCTGTAAATGAAACATAATTTAAAAAGGATTCTGTAAGTACTACAGTTTATAATTGCTGAGATCAAAGAAATGCTGCGGACATTTTTCTCCATTATATAATGTCCTTGACTTTTTGGGGAATTATCTTGTTACTACGTGCAGTGTAGGAATTGCCAATTTTTGCTTTAATATCTCATATTTTTTTTAAAATATGATTTTAAGTATATAGAACATGTAATATATTCTTAAATTTGTAACTTACAGGAATTGCTGTGGGTCATATCTATTACTTTTTGGAAGATGTCTTTCCACAGCAACCAGGAGGATTTAAAATTCTTAGAACTCCATGGTTTTTGTAAGTATGAATCTTGATAGTGTTGACCAAGAAAGTATTTTATAACTGGACAAAAATCATATGGAAGCAATGGTAAAACTCATTTTCATACTATTTAGTGCTATAGTGTGTGTGTTTAAATTCCAATACTAAAAGTGGAACTTATAATCTTCTGTGATTGTTGTCATGGCCACAGGTAAACAAATCAAAAATCTGGTCATTATGAGTATAGCACATTCAGTTTGAATTTTCTCTGGCTCCATTCAAACTTGAATGCATTATATTGCCATATGTTTCCAGAAGTAGGGAGATCATAAAAAAAAATTTCTATATATATTTTGGGGAAGTTTAGTCTTAAACTTAGTAATTTTCCATTGCCATATGATGTTGACTAGATAAATTTCATTAAAAATAAATAACTTTTTACTTCAGTAATATTAGAATAATTAAACGGCAAAAAAAACAAGAGGCCCATGGGCCACATTGCTCACCTGAGCACATTGGCTAGGCAAAACCACAAATCAGTTCAGTATTGAAAAGGTTACGGGGGGGGGGGGGGGGGGGGGGGGGGGGCTGATGATGCTTTCATGTCAATATAACAAATGGCTTTGTTGTACTTGAGTAAATTTTGAAAAAATTTCCCCATATAATCCTTTGTAAAAATTTGATCCCCCATTGTGGCTCCTCCCTATCCCAGAGGTCAATATTTGAACAAACTTGAATCTACACTACCTGAGGATGCTTCCATATCAATATGACTAAACATAGCTTTTCTGTTCTTGAGAAGAAATATTTTTTCTGCATGTTCTTATGTAAAACTTTCGATCCCCGATTGGGCCCCACCCTACCCCCGGGGTCATCATTTGAACGAATTTGATTTACACTATCTGAGGATGCTTCCATATCAAAATGACTAAACATGATTTTCAGTTCTTGAAAAGAGGATATTTTCCTATTTGTTCCTATGTAAAATTTTCGACACCCTAATGTGGCCCATCCCTATCCCCGGGGGTCATCATTTTAACAAACTTGAATCTACACTACCTGAGGATGCTTCCATATCAAAATGACTAATCATGGCTTTGCAGTTCTTGAGAAGAGGATATTTTCCTATTTGTTCCTATGTAAAATTTTCGACACCCCATTGTGGCCTATCCCTATCCCCGGGGGTCATCATTTTAACAAACTTGAATCTACACTACCTGAGGATGCTTCCATATCAAAATGACTAATCATGGCTTTGCAGTTCTTCATCAGAAAGATATTTTCCTATATATTTCTATTTAAGACTTTGATCCTCCATTGTGGCCACACCCTACCCCAGGGGGTCATGATTTGAACAATCTTGAATTTATACTACCTGAGGATACTTCCACATAAATATGAACAATCAGGGCTTTGCTGTTCCTGAGAAGAAGATTTTAAAAATTTTTCCTATATATTTTTATGTAAAACTTTGATCCTCAATTGTGGCCCCGCCCTACCCCCAGGGGTCATGATTTGAACAAATTTGAATTTTTACTACCTGAGGATGCTTCCATATAAATATTACCAATCAGGGCTTTGCTGTTCTTGAGAAGAAGATTTTTTAAAGATTTTTCCTATATATTTCTATGTAAAACTTTGATCCTCCATTGTGGCCCCGCCCTACCCTCGGGGGTCATGATTTGAACAAACTTGACTCATCATGGCTTTGCTGTTCTTGAGAAGAAGATTTTTAAAGGTTTTTCCTATATATTTCTATGTAAAACTTTGATCCTCCATTGTGGCCCCGCCCTACCCCCAGGGGTCATGATTTGAACAAATTTGAATCTACACTACCTGAGGATGCTTTTGTAGCGTGAAACCTTATAATGTAATTAAAAATAACAGAGGCGGCTGAATTCCCCCAGTTAACTTTCTGAGGACCTGGCAGGTTCAAAATATACAAATATATGATCAAGCAATATATACAGATAAATGTTGAGACTACCTGTCTTTAATCAATTATATACAATAAATTAAAGTTATGCTGGCTCTTGAGCGATCGGCTCTTACAGCTCGGCTCTTATGGTTACCGGCTCTTACAGCTCGGCTCTTTTGGTTACTGGCTCTTACAGCTCAGCTCTTATGATAACCGGCTCTTACAGCTCGGCTCTTACTGGCTCCCTCGGTAGCTTTCTTGGTAATAAATAATATTTAAAGCCAGGAAAGACTTGTTCAGTCACGTCTAACGCTTTAAATATTTATTTATTATCATTAACTAAAAGTTACCTCTGGTCATTAATGGTTCGCCGCTTGTGTTGCCACTTCAGCATCAACTTCGCAATTAACACAGCTCTGCCGCTTCACTTGTATTTATACCCTTGGCCAACAATGCCATCTAGCGGAAACATGACTAAAATACCGCTTGTACCGGAATAACTTTTCCCGGATTGTTTCACTTTCATATAAATATGACCAATCAGGGCTTTGCTGTTCTTGAGAAGAAGATTTTTTTTTTATCAAGATTTTTCCTATATATTTCTATGTAAAACTTTGATCCTCCATTGTGGCCCCGCCCTACCCTCAGGGGTCATGATTTGAACAAACTTGAATCTACACTACCTGAGCATGCTTCCATATAAATATGATTCATCATGGCTTTGCTGTTCTTGAGAAGAAGATTTTTAAAGGTTTTTCCTATATATTTCTATGTAAAACTTTGATCCTCCATTGTGGCCCCACCCTACCCCCGGGGGTCATGATTTGAACAAACTTGAATCTACACTACCTGAGGATGCTTCCACATGAGTTTCATCTTCCCTGGCTTTGTGGTTCTTGACAAGAAGATTTTTAAAAGATGCTATTAATTTTTCACTAATTCTTTATTATCTCCCCTTGAAAGAGGGCATGGCCCTTCATTTGAACAAACCTGAATCCCCTTCACCCAAGGATACTTTGTGGCAAGTTTGGTTGAAATTGGCCCAGTGGTTCTTGAGAAGAAGATGAAAATGTGAAAAGTTTACGACAACAACGACGACGACAGACAACGGACAAATTTTGATCAGAAAAGCTCCCTTGAGCCTTTGGCTCAGGTGAGCTAAAAAAACAAAACAAAACAAAACAAACAAAACAAAACAAACAAAAAAAAAATACATAATATTTATTTGATGTATTCTGAGTCTCCACTACCAGTCATCTGGTTGTTTGTAATATTTGTAGGACCTACCTCCTAGATGGTCCCCCTGAAGATCCCAACTACAACCCACTCCCAGAGGATCGACCCGGGGGATTTAACTGGGGTGAGGCACAAAGACCACCCCAACAAAACGGTGAAAATTGACACCAAAATTTATCTAGTCTTAACATTTTACCCAAATAAAATTTGTAAAAAGAGTTGGAAAATTGGGATATGAGACTTATTTCATGAGAGAGGGAAAGATGCAAAAGCTTGAGAAAGGATCATGTGTGCAAATGCCAACATGTTTGTCTGTACATGTGCAATATGTGCACTTGAGCTGACGCTTTAACTTTTATTCTGTGATAGATCTGTTCTTATTGATACAATACCTGATTTTTGTCCATGATTTAACACATGTAACACACAGTTTTCCTCTCATCATTTCAGCTTTTTGTCTATTCATGTACGTATAATTTCATTCATCCTTAACTTTCAGTGGGTTGTCTACAAGGTTTTCGTATATTGTCATGATTTTTTTTTTCAGTAAAATTTTAGTGTCAAATTTGGTAAACTCCTTGATGATTTAGTTTCATACATGTAGAGATCCATGTATGATTATTTGAAATACATGTACATACATGTATTTAATTATATTTTCTGTACAGGAATGTTTCTTTGTAATAAATACCATGTATGTTAATTGATATGAGGAAAAACATTGAATTTTGATGAGTAGTCATTGTTTTAATACATCAAGACATTCTGTACATTAAAGTATGTACATAATATGTTAAGTTGGATTAATAAATCTAGCTATTTTAAGAACTGTACTTGTATATTATTAAAGAGTTATTAGTCACCAGTAAAATGGAAGGGGGTATACGTTTTATCATCCTCTGCTTGCCTACCTGTCTTTACTCTCTTCAGAAGTTTATTTTATCAACTTTGTGATACTGTAAAAACACTTTCTTTCGTGGGGTCAAAATCTCATGGTTTGAGGAAAAATATTGCTTGTTGGGTATTGATTTCTTGGTTGAAGAAAAGACATCATACTGTATTTTGAAATTTTATCATTTCATGGAGGGCATGAATTCATGGGTCATCTGGGTCTCTTCATACCATGAAAATAATGAAATTTAAACCCATGAAAATTAGTGATTTCACGGCATTTGATTGAGGTTTAGTACTTTCTTTTGTACATGTGTATAGAAATTGGAAGATGATTGCAAGTTTAATGGAATTTCAACTTTATCAGGTTGAGATATGTTCATTTACGAAAAAATAATCAATAAAAATTCTATTTACCGGTACCAAGATAAAAAAAAAATGTAAATGATGACCAGGTTCCACATTTAGCTCTTCTGAGCCTACGAACAGCAGAGTAATGGGCTAATCACGGCTTTGCTTTTCATTAAAAAAAAATTTTCCCTTTGTATTCCCATGTAAAAATTTGATCCCCTGTTATAGCCCCACCCAACCCCTGGGGCAAAAAACGTAAACAAACTTTAATCAACACTATGTAAGAAAGCTTTTACAGAAGTTTCATGTTTTCTTGCATTGTCATTCTGGACATTTTAAACTGACCCCACCTTATTTTTACCCTTTCTTCATAATTTCATATTGGAAGAGGGTTTGGCTCTTCATATGAACAAACTTGAATCCCCTTCCCCAAGGATATTACCGGTATGCCAAGTTTAGTTGAAATTGGCCTATTGATTCTAGAGAAGATGAAAATTTTAATCAATAAATTCACTTTTGAGGCTTTGGCTCACAGGGTTCTCCATGAGCTGTTTTATGTCTGCCCAGACACAGTAATGATTCAAATTTTTTGCGTGTGACACAGTAAAAATTGTGCGACACAGTAAGATCCATGATAATTAGAAAATCAGAACATAAATTCTCTCTTACTGAAACTTTAATCAAACAAATCTACTGTCTTTCAATTTTTAAGGCAGAGCACTTCATTATCTCTTAATTAGGGCGCATTGTCTTGCTTTACCTTGCATTATCAATCATCTCCTAGACCCTATATGGACTTTAGGCATGAAGGAACAAAGGCAAATATGTAAGACTTCCATGTAACTGTATCATTGCTAGTTGCATTTTTAAATAACATGTATATATTGAAGACTGCTAATTGGAAGTTTTCACCTAAGTCTTGTCCTTTCTAGCCAAGTGATTCTTGAACCCCATCATTTTTCTTCCTAATTTTCATCCTTGACATGGACTTGGCCCTTCATTTGAACAAATTTGAATCAATGTTTTGTTGACATTAGGTGACTGGTTTCTTGAAAACGAAGTCAAAAATGTGAAAAGTTAACAGAAGGTGGACAGACAGACTACAGACAAATGTTGATCAGAGAAAAATCTGACAAAGCTCACCTGAGCCACCTTCACCCTGTTTTTCTTGATCTGATGTTTTTCCTCTGAATTTCTATTTAAAAGTTGGCTGTTGCCCTCTTTTATGTTCTCATACAATCCCTTGGAACTACATGTGTATGATGTGAACAAACTTAAATTTGCACTATCTGAGGATGCTCTCATACTAGCATGACTAATCAAGGCAGTGTAGTTCTTAAGCAAACAGATTTTTTCCTATATATTTCTAGACAAAATTGTAATCCCCTTTTGTGACCCTACTTTGCCCCCATGGTCTGATTCTCCACTTCTAGTGAATGCTTGCATATTCTATGACCAATCATTAGAGAATTAACATTTTTCTTGTATATATCCATGTAAAGTTTGTATCTCCTATTGTAGCCCAACACAGCCTATCCCCAGAGCCATAATTTTAACGAACTTTAATATGCACTACATGAGGATGGCTGCATAATTATGGACTTAATACTGCCCCATGGTTCTTGATGAGATTTTCAAGGTTTTTTTCTCCCTACATGTATGTATTCATTGCAGAACTTTCATCACTTAATTAAGATTCAGTCTATGATTACCATCAACTTCATTTACTTTCCGGTTTTTATTTCGATTAGTCAGATGCTTGATGTGCCAAAAAAATTTTTGCCATGCACAAAATTAATATTGGTATCATCTGTATAACAGACTGGCAAGATTTTGTGCTGGCTATAAATACCTTCAGAAAGTAGGGAATATGTAAATGAATTATGTATTCATATTTTTGTTAGGAATTTAGCTCACCTCAACAAAGTTGGGGGAGCTTATGTAACTATTGGCATTGGTGTCCCACATTAAATTTCTTTTCATGTACTTTTATGCCCTATATTAATCAGAGGTGCATGGAGGATGCTTCTAGTGTGTTTCATTGCACCAGTCAAGGTTTCAGATGCTGCAATTTCAACTAAAGAATGACCAGGTTAATATTTTTGGAGCAGGTCTCATTTCCAAGTAACTATAAGCCCTATGTTGACCAAACTTGCATGGATGATACACCTAAGGATGCACACTACCAGACTTGCTTGGGATACTGGTTATGACCTACATTGTCCGGATGAGTGACCAAGTTGAAGTTTTTGGAGCAGATCTCATTTCCAAGTAGTTGTAAGCCCTATGTTGACAACTTGAAGGATGATACATCTAAGGATGCACACTACTGGTCTTGCCTCAGTTGCTTGAACTGACCTACATTTTACGGATGAGTGACCAGGTTAAAGTGTTTGGAGCAGATCTCATTTCCAAGTAAATGCAAGTCCTCTGTTGACCAAACTTGCATGGATGCTGGATCTGACCTACATTTTCCGGATGAGTGGCCAGGTGTTTTGGGAGCAGGTCCATTGCCAAGAAACTATAAGGCCTATCTGAACCAAACTTGCCTGCATGATGTATCAAGGGACAAACACTCTCAAATTTGCTTCAGATGCTGGATTTGACTTACATTTTCTGGATGAGTGACTAGTTTAAAGTTTTTAGATAAGTCCATTCCAAAGTAACTGCAAGCCCTATCAGACCAAAATTGCATAAATGTTGCATCTAGGGATGCACACTACTAGATTATTAGTGTGGGACTTGGCCTTACTTGAAGACAACATTCGTTGAGGTGAGTTCTGTAATCTCTGATTTACCTATGTTTTTTATATTATGTTTGTAGAACAACAGAGACCTCTTGCTTCAGGTTGCACAAACATGTCCATCTTCACACATTTTCTAGATAAATTATTCGAGCATACTTTGTGGAATGACACATCTAAAACAACTTTTGTTCAGATTTTTTTTTTATTTGAGAACATTGCATATGACTGATCATGTGGCTACAACATAGGGTTCATGATCAGATGATCCGGTGCATACAGACATTTAAATCAGGTCTGGGGATAGTACCGAGTGTGTCGCTGAGCATCATGGGAAAAAACTGGATATTTTTACCTTTTCACTGGAAAACTATATTTTTGCAGAGTATAATGCTATTACATTGCACATGTTTACATTGAAAAACAGTTTTGATATTGTGTGATGACAAATTTATATTGCATTAAACTACAGAGCAATTAAGTCTACAAAAGAAAAAGAGAATTCGCTCACACATTCATTTGTGATTGTATAAATGCCACAGATACACTGTTGACTGAGTGGAAAACTAGCATTGCAGCCTAATCACAGCTTAGTAACAAATACACCAAGTGATATGTGACTTTACACATCCATATTTTAATAAATTAAAAGTCAATTACTTCTTGGTAATTAAAACCCACAATAATTAGAACTCAGGCAAGTCAAAAAAAAATTGCTTACAACGTCCAGAAATGAAACTCCTCTCTATGTCATGCAAATTCATGTTCAAGTTCTCTGAAATTCAAATAGTTCTCTGTTTTTTCCCCCTCCTTTATATCCATGTACATATTATTGCAAAGGGAATTTTCAGAATACTGAAGTTTACATTGCTCACTTAGCAATGACTGGAAAAAAACCCACTCTTATAAGCAAACCAACTTTTCCATAAGGACCTTAATTAAATACAGAATTATTATTATAAGCTAATATGAAGAACATACGAATATTTCTTAAAGAAACAGTTTTTTGCATTAAAATATATATATATCAATCCTTTTTAAAGGGAACTCAAAGGCAAAATGTTCACTTTCATAACATTTCTTCTCCCAGCCTTCTTCTTTCTATGAACAACACTGGTCTCCCATCTTCTATTAATAACTTTTCACATTATTAATCATATGGACGTTTTTCTGCATGTTTCTTTGTGAACTCCTCTGCATTTTTCATAAATTTGGCATTGTTTTTTGTGAACTCCTCTGCAACATCTGCCCTGAGTGGGTGTTCAGGCTCAGGATTGTGAACTAAGTCTATTAATGATTGTATAACTAGAAAGAAAAAGAAAAACACTGTATCTGTAAAAAGTTCAAAGCAATAACAACTTTTATTATTAACAATACCATAATTGTAATTTCCATATGTGCTTCATTGAATGAACATATATATTCTAGTGGAATGAACCACCATTATATACATACCATTGGTACTTTGATATAATACATAATAATTACCCTGATCTGTTTTAGTTGCTGGCTTCCAATTCTCGGGACTTATAATTGGTAAACAAACTTGTCCTTTTTCATCAATGTTTGGGTGATAAATCTTTGTCTTAAATGTTACTTTGGGTGGTTTAAATGGATACTCTGCAGGGAATACTATTTCTATCCTAAATGCTCCTTTATTATATGGAGGCTGTTCCTGAAATTGATTTAAACAACCACCAATTAATGCAATGTGTTTTTTCCCTTATGGATTTTTTTGAAGTGTACCTGTTTTTTTTTTTTTTTTATTTTCTTTTTTTTATTATTAGGCCAAAATAAAAAATACCTTTGTTTCTCCTAACGCGACCTACCCAATTAAAACGTGCCGACTGCATGGAAAGTTTTTCTTATAAGATTATTCCATATTTTTTTTTTATGTTTATCAATTTTTATAAAATAGAATTTCATCAAAATCCGCTTTTATCAGAACGGCTGATTTTGTTCTGTGATTTTCAAGCATTTGTTGGAATCAAAATGGCACCAACAACATGTCTCGGTCACGGATGGTTAGTACATGTTTCAAAAGAAAGACAACGTATCAACCTTATGCCTTTAGCATATAGGAACCCTACACTCTTGAAACACGTTGTTAATAAAATAAAATACACAATGACCTATTAAGTGTGTTTCGATTGTATTTACCATCTGTCTTAAAATTAAGTACATATGTACGTAGGGAGCATGCTTAGGCCTGTAGGCCCTCCTCATGATACTCCTCATGAGCAGACAAGGGGCCTTCTTGTGAACAAACCAATCAATTTCACTGCATTTTATTTAATTTGAGTTTTGATCTTATAAACAGTTCATCAATATTTCTATGTTTAATACATATATATGGGACCATAAGAGTTGTAAATTAGTCTGCATATTTCATCCTAACGAATAGAATTCAAACGTCCTTTCTTCATGCTTTTTATTCATGGGTTAAACTTTGTGACTTTGACATTGTGTATGGCATTTATCATTTTTAGATATGGGTTGTCTCAATTAAATATGGCCACTATACTTTTTCCATTTTTTTTTTATTCATTATTATCTATTTTTTTTTTTTTAGATTTGAAATTATGATACAATGCTTCCTGAGACGTCCGTGTATTTTTCTTTAATAAGCCCCTTGAATTCAAGATTGGTTGTTTCTTTGATTTATATTCCTTTGATAATTATTGGGTCAACAACATTTATTTAAACATTTGACTGGTGAAGGGCTCCAAATTTAGATTTGTATGCGGCATTTTAGGCAATGAGCAATGAGGGATCTTTTTCATGCTAGTATCTACTGCGACATTGGACCTAAGTTTTTATGGTCTCTTTCGAAGATTCGGTCTCAACGTCCCGCATTGGGATTTTAACCTGCAACTTAGAAAACATCTCCTTACTTCGAGACTCCAAAACGAAATGCTCTAGAACCACTGCACGGTTCGAAGCCCTTGAAAAAGTACATTGCATGTGTAAGCACTGGAAGCTGATAGTAAGTAAACTATGGAAAAATACTCGGATGTCCGGTCTTTGCATACCCGAAAATCTTTTAAACAGATTTATTCAATTTCAACAAATTTACTCTGGTATGAGATATTTTACAAGTTTGATTGAAAAATAGTTGCGAATTAATATACCTTAAATAGTCTAAACGTCATTTGTATTGTATTCTAGCTGTTTACAAATGTCTTTCTTCTGAACTTATTTATAAGGGTATTATTCCATTTAATTTTAAGAATGTATTTTCAAAGCTGCTGTCAAAAAAAAAATTATTTGCCTACCTACCTACCCAACTTGAGATTTTTGGGTCGGGTTAGGGGAAACAAAGATATTTTTAATGATGGCCTTATTATTATTTTTTTTTGAGTCACCTGAGTCAGTCTGGTGACTTATTGCTGTTTTTCTCCACTCTGCCTATCATCCAATGTGTGTTATACACAAACTTTATAAAAATTCAACTACTCACTTACCTCAAAATATACCCGAGAGATGAAGATTTAAATTTATTCAGTCAAAAGGATAAGCCCTTTTCAAGGGGAGATAATTAATATAAAGAGATCTAATAAATGTTCTCATGAAGAACCATTCAATAAAAAAGTAATCAAGATTAATGCAAACGTTGCATAAAAATTTCATTGTATGATTCACTTTGCCCCAGCTTAGGGCCTGAACATTGCATCCAGATTTTCAAAGATCTTCACTTTCTTGAACAACAAAGTCTACATATTGTTAGTATGAAAACATCAACACTAAAAAAAATTTCAAATCATGATGGCTCTTGTGGCTATATAGGGCAAATTCAGGCCTCTAAATTTTTATTATGTGACATGACTCGATCAATACAAAAATATTTGTTACTTTCAAATAAGTTTCTGTATGATATGCAGGTGACTGATCATTATAAGGCTGGCTTCATGGCCTTTGTGTTATAGAATATATTCTAAAAATTACTCACTGGTACTAAAAGACCTTGCCAATACAAGATGTTTGACTCATCCACAGTTATATTTCTGAAATATTTTACATCACTCTTCCTCAAGTCCCCAAGTTCCTGAAAAGAACAAAACAAAACAAATACATTTTTATGATTTTCTTTTTGTTTTCAAACCATTTTTTTTTCCCAGAGGCTTTTACCATGTTTATTGTGACACTTGTACACAGTAAATAATTTTCTTGCCTCAGCAAAATATTTATTGCCAGTCAAATTTCACTGTGCTACAATCAAATTCACTAAGCCTTATGAATATTGGTTTGGATACCAATAAGGATAAAATGGTATGATACCACATCAGTATTTTTGAAATGATACTTTTTAACAATACCTAGATCTATTGATCAATTCTATATGATATGTAACAACTGTTGTTTCAATATGTATGTAATTATTACTTAGCACCTTACAATAAGCATTGTAAAATTTAATCTTGTGGTTATTTATTTTCAGAAGTATTCGATTTTGTTCAAATAACTTGACTGCATTGAAATAGATGAAAGAAAGCAGCATTAAATACCAAAATTTGAAGTATTATTAAATGAAACTGTATTTTAACAGTAATTTTTAAACAAGTACTCTTGGTATGGTATGAACACCAAATGTCCAACCCTTAGATACTCATGAAGATTTGCCACTGTTACATTGGTCTGCTTGGAAGACGGGGGTAATTATTCATGAAAAAAAAAAACAAACAAACACTTTGTATACCCTAATACAAAATTGTATTTGCTTTTGTCAGTCATTAGACTCATTACCACAAAATGTTTTTGATCTCTAAAATTGCTGTTTGTGTGCTATGTGGCTCAGTAAAATTTTAAATGATGGAGAACACAGTTATCTTCATTCAAAGAATGAGGAAGTAAACAGAAGGAAACAGGACATCTTGATCAAAATCCTGAGATTTCACTAGCTTCTCTTGATTTACTTCACTTGTTTATATTGGTTACACTGCATTTAATTCTTATTCAACATTATTAACTAAATTCTAATGGACATAGGATTTAACGAGTTCAGGAGTTGAATATTGATATAATAAATAAATAGTACAAATGCAAAATAATAAACAAGCCAATCCAACTCCTGCCCAGAATGACAAATGACATTCATGGCAGAAAAGAAATTCAATTCAAAATTAATAAAGCAAAGTTGCACACACATATATAAACAGATCTCATTTTTACTTATGTCTCTTATTTTTCATCTTAGAACTTCAACAATTTAGACTTTTCAACATGTTCTAATTACATATATAAATGGATTACTTTCCTGGATCCAGTTTATAGAATACCAAACAAGAACTAAATGAATCCATCAGTAACCAACACGTATTTACATTACCTGTCAATCTAATAAGTTTTTCCTGCCCTTAAAATTCTTAATACGTATACCTAAGCAGTAGACACTCCGAAGTCTGAACCAAAATTTCTAACATCTGTTTTACAAGATACATATGGGTAAAAGCCACATTTGCATGAAAGATCAATGCTGCATCTTTAATTTTTTTTTCTTTTTTTTTTTAATTCATATTTAGTCAGTTTGCTTTAGAGTAAAACTAAAAATATCAAAATAAAAAGGACACTCAGCAATGAGACATCCCAATAGTACTATTAATTTTAAAATAATGGAACATTCTGCTATCCATTTCTAACCATCGTATTCTTTCTTCTTTTTTGGGTGAATATAATGAACAATAACAAGCATAATTATTCAACTTGTTCAATGCATCCTAGAAAATAGAAAGGAAGAAAGAACGTCTCTTTAGGGACCTGACGTACATATAATGTGATATAAAAAAGCAGATTTAAAGCAGTAATCTAAAGAGACATACTCAATATCCCAATAAATAGATTTATTCAATTCTTCGAATAAACATTGCACCATCGTTTCACAATTCTCATAAAGCAAAATTATTCACCGTTGTACTCGCAGAAGACACGCCTTAAAATGATATCTACTTCATTTCGGTTCTTAAGTATACTAGAACTAGGAATAGGCACACGAAAATTTAATTTAAATTGAAATAAATTTGAGGCGAAAATGAAGTAATGCCGAGAAAACGACATTCCTATATTTACCTTCGTTAGCCGCTTGGTCGCTGCCATCTTGAATAAGTCACGTGACGTATATTTCTACGATTGCTAAGGGAGATAAGCATCAAACTGCCCGCGTCATGGATCAATACCGCGTTAATATTAAAATCGCCTGATCGCAGTAGGTAAAAAAAAAAAAAAATCGCTATTTCATGCAACAAATTACTGATTAAATAAGAAAAAGATAACAAATGTTTTGTTAATCATAAAAAAGTATATATATATATATATATTGCACGTATGGTCTATCGAAGCAGAGACATTTTATATTTTATATGTATCTGATCGAAGTCATTTCACCCAAGTAAAACGGAAGAAGTCACCGTTAGGCCTCTATTTTAGGTCGCCATTGAAGAGTTGACATTTTGTGATTTTTATACTTATGTTAAATTATTCCTTGGACACTTCAATTAATTTAGAAGAGAAATGAAAATTAAAAAAAAAATACTGTAAACATGTAATAGAAACGAAAGCAAGTATTTCAGTCGAGCACCCCTTTCGGGAATCAGTGTAATAATAAATAATTATACACTCGATCTAAAGTATAACTATATAATTTAAAATATACCTTAAATAAAAAATAAGATGAAACAAATATCATAGCATAAAAAATATTGATTCTGAGTCCTGAATCAGAAATTATAGGCAGGAAGTTTCTACTATAATTATGCGACGGTCGACTGGGGATTGAAAACGTTTTTTTCCCTGTGAAAACCATGTTCTTCCCAGAACTCCTCTTATTTTATGCAGTAGCTAAATTATCTTTTTCGAATACAGTATGGAAATTGTTTGTTGATGTCCTTTAGATATGCAACAAGGTTTTGGAATTTTTATTTTCACCAATAGGGACCAACTGGGGTTCGAGAACCGACTTGTTTTCTTCGAAAACCATGTCCCCAGAATTCCTCTTACATTTTATGCAGTAATCAAATCATCTTTAGGAATATGATTGGTGGTGTCCTGTAGATGTGCAATAAGGTTTTAGAATTTTTTAGTCCCCTACCGGTGATACCGGAGGGGACTATAGGTTTCCTCTGAGTCTGTCCGTCCGTCTGTCTAGCTGTCCGTCCGTCTGTCCCTCTGTCTGTCTGTCAGTCTGTCCCACTTGGTTTTCCGCATTTTTTTCTAAACGCGCGCAGATACTGAGCTGATTTTTGGTATGTGAGTGTATCTGGATGAGTTACAGATCAAGTTTGCATTTCGTTCCGCTTCAAAAATTTTTGACGGAATTACGACCTTTTCAATTTTTCAGGGTTTTCCGCAATTGTTTTCTAAACGCCTGCGAATATTGAGCTGATTTTTGGCATGTGACTTAACCTTGATGAGTTATAGATCAAGTTCGCATTTCGTCCCGCTTCATTGATTTTTGACGGAATTATGTCATTTTCAATTTTTAGCGGGAACCAGATTACACTTGCCGGTAGGGGACTAGTATTGCTAATGCAATACTCTCGGAATGCTTGTTATTTTTATCATAGGGTCCATGCAATTATGATTATGTATTTTAAAAAAATCAAAAACCTTTTTTTTCATGTAGTAGCCAAATCATGCAGATGATATTTTTTTTTTAAATATTAGTGTTCTGTATTTTCGGGATTTTCACTTTCATCTAGCAGGCCATGATGGTGCAAACATTTTAAAACGCCTCTTTTTTGCAAAAAAGTATAAATATTCTTTTCAAATCTTCCTTTAAAATAGAATTTCTGCTTCATTAAATTTTCTATAATATCCGACTAGTAATGAATTTATTCGTAGAGGCTCATATGGTCTCCATGGTCACCTGATCCCTTTATACTCAATTTGATAAATTTAAGGAATGAATTTAATAGCTACCCAAGTTATACTGTATAACTTGGGCTGGGACAGTTTATGACTTATAAACCGCGAAGCCAATCCAGTATAACTTGGATAGCTATTAAATTCATTCCTTATAATTTAAGTGTAGAAAATCAGAGAATTTCTCCTGCAAAAATGGCTTCAAATTGTATATAGTTTAAAAAATGTAACGTCAAGCGGATTGATACGTTTTTGGCATAAGCCATTATGACTTAGGCAACACAGGTTATGCGATATAAACTATTTTTTTATCCAATCAAATGGCGCGTTTCAACCAAAATTAAATTATATACATTTATAGAAATTCTTCGCCAGTTACTCAGTGTACATACTAGATTTCCTTTAAAAAAGACAAAAATATTTTCAAAGAGGTGGTATTTTCAATACATGACAAACTTTAACCCGGCACTGGGATGTGAACGCTGGACCCAGAAGGCATGGATTTCACAATTTGTAATGATTTTTGATATTTGACCAGTTAATCCCCATATAGACCAAAGCATTGGACCCAAGGGCCATGGATTTCATAATTTTAGTAAAAGGTTGAGTAGTCAGTATGAAAATGTAAACAGTTTGCTCGCTGGTTGCCAATGATTAATGTGCATGGAAGATTTTGAAAGACAGAGTTCGCATTTATAGTATCCAATCAACTAAATTAGCCCTATCTTGAATCCTAACCTCTGAACCAAATGTTAATGAATTTCAAAATGTTGATAAAGGACTCGTTGTTTTTATACCAGCACTTTTTAAAGAAAGTTTGGGTACATTATTGTTATCCCGGTCCGCCCGTCTCTCGCAAAGTCACAATATCCTCTTCCTCAAACATCTCATACATTTTACGCAATAATCATTGCATATTGTGGAATTTGATTAGTGATGTTCTGTATATGTACATTAACTTAATGATTAAGGTTTTGGAATTTTCCATCTGGGGGCCAGTTGGGGGTCGAAAAATGACGCTTTCCCACAAAAAACCGTCTTCCAAGAGCTCCTCTTAAATTTTTCGCAGTAGCCGCATCATTGTTTGGAATATGACTGGTGTTGTCCTGTCGATGTGCAATGAGGATTTTGGAATTTTCATTTTAACCATGAGGGCCGATTGAGGGTGGACAACGTGTTCCTACAAAAAAAAAATTCTTAGAACTCATCCGGAGGCCAACTGGGGGTCGGAAAAAAAAATTACATCTTTTTTAATACACAAAACCCATGTTCCCAGAGCTCGATCCTCTCACATTTTACGCTGTCGCCAAATTATCTTTTGGAATATGATTAGTGGTATCCTGTAGATATGCTATAAATTTCAGAATTTTCATTTTCATTCCAGGAAGCCAATAACAAAGACCTAAAACATCTTCTATTCTGTTTTTTGTTATACACAAAAAGATTCTTTCCAAAACAAATTCCAGGATCCAAATAGGAACCGAACACCTAAAACACCTTTTTTATGCCCTCGTATCGAAAATTCGGGGGTATATAGTTTTTGCCCTGCCCGTCCATCTATCTGTCTGTCTGTCCGCAAAAACTTTAACATTACCCATCACTTCTGCTACGGCTTTCATATTTCACATGTGTATTCCTTGTGACGAGACCTTTCTTTGGGTACCACCATATTTGACCCTTTGACCTTGACCTTGACCTCGGAGTTTGACCGAGTTATGCAAAATTTAACCGAACTTTAACCTTGGCCATAACTTTTGAACGGTTGGTGCTAGGGCTTTCATCCTTCAAATATGTAATCCTTGTGACAAGACCTTCATTGGATACCAACAACTATGACCCTTTGACCTTGGGGTTTGACCTTCTTTCGGAAAACTTTAACCTTGGACATATCTTTTGAACAGTTGGTGCTAGAGCTTTCATATTTACATGTAACATGTCTATTCCTTTTGACAAAACCTTCCTTTGGATACCAACAATTGTAATCCATTGACCTTGACTTTGGAGTTTGACTTACTTTTGAAAAACTCTAACTTTGGCTATAACTTTTGAACAAACATCCCTTTTAAACATAATTTATGCTTCTTTAAATTCCTTCATTTAAGACTGGTAATGAATCTGTTATATAAAATACTTACATAAGAAGCCCATGGACCACATGATCACTATTAGTATTTTATGGTTAATTAGATATTTATGTGAATCATAGAATAACTATTTTGGCTTCTTTGCTATTTACTCAGATGCGGATGCAGCATGTAGTATATAAATTTTATCATGAACAGGCGAACACAGGGTCTTTGATCCAAGTACATTTGAAAGAGTATGTATAGAAAATAGACAGGAAAAGAACATTCTTGCCCATATATTCAGGGGCATTAAAGATTTTATTTTACAGATTCTGTTACCCCTTATTCATATTTAAAAGATTGCAAGGAACAATAACTCTGGATAGAGATTGCCTGCCATTGAGAATTTTAGTTTTGCAAAAATGTCATTTTAACATAAGTTTTAACATAAACCGAAAAGTAAACACGCCTACCTACCCCGGGTCTATTGTTAAATCTCACAACAACAACTCGGAGATATCTCTAAAGCATGTCAAGTCAAGGCTTTGCTTTACAAATTGCCGGCCAACAAAAATCAGAAGTCTTTAGAAGGGGGGGGGGGTAATTTCGCTTCTCCCCATTTTTCACTTGACCCCTCCTCCCCCTCTGCCCATTTTCATCCTTCTTTCTCCTCTATAGGTGGTGCAATTAATTCTTGTTATGTTACGTCCTAAAAATACATTGCAAGGTCCAGCAAGGCTCTACCAAGCCTCTATCTTTACTCCTCGCAAAAATATTAACGGCTGTTAAGGAGAAACTCCATACGTACTCTGCTACAAGCGTATTCGAGAAGTGGTGTAAGTCAGATGTGGATTTTTAAGAATTCCAAAGAACTTTTCGAAGATTTAAAATCACTAATATTTTTCAAAAGTCAGTAACATATCAACTTTGGCTTAGATTAGGTATTTTGATATCAGAGACAACTGCTTCTTCAATAAAAATGGAACTAGGAAATTTTCATACCTTGTGATTGGTAATCTACTGGTAGCTGAAAAACACAGCAGGTATTTTACACATTCGCTAAGCTATGGTTTCGAGTTGGACGAAATTGTTCCCTACATGGAAAAATGTTCCTCTACAAATTAGTATCGTTCACACATGAGAAAGAGTTTTTTCGGTCTATTTTTTGATAAAAAAAAAAACTTAAAAGGTTATTAGATAAGCAACATGCTATAACATGTGTTTTATTGGGAAC